GAGAGAGAGAGACGAGAGAGAGAGAGAGACGAGACGAGAGAGAGAGAGAGAGAGAGAGAGAGAGAGAGAGAGAGAGAGAGAGAGAGAGAGACGAGAGAGAGAGAGAGAGAGAGAGAGAGAGAGAGAGAGAGAGAGAGAGAGAGAGAGAGAGAGAGAGAGAGAGACGAGAGACGAGAGACGAGACGACGAGAGAGAGAGAGAGAGAGAGAGAGAGAGAGAGAGAGAGAGAGAGAGAGAGAGAGAGAGAGAGAGAGAGAGAGAGAGAGAGAGAGAGAGAGAGAGAGAGAGAGAGAGAGAGAGAAGGAGAGAGAGAGAGAGAGAGAGAGAGAGAGAGAAGAGAAAAGGGGAGAAGAGAGTGAGAGAAGAGAGAGAGAGGCTGACTGGGGGCTTACCCAGCCCATGACTGGGAGAGAGAGAAGAAAGTAAGGGAGAGAGAAGTGAGAAAGAGAGAGAGGGACTGGGGGCTTATGGGGTAAGAGAGAGAATGGAGGAGAGAGAAGAGGAAGAGGGAAAGAAAGAGAGAGAAGAGAGAGAAAAGGAGAGAAGTTTAGGATGGGTTACCTAATATGGACGATGAGTTCGGACTGGGGATTATGTTGGTCCTAACCTTCTTGATGTGTCCTTCAAGGTGGGTTGTGTCGTGGAAGTGAGGGTGTAGGGTTAGAGTTTATGGGCTAGGGTGTATGGGAGTAGGGACTATGGAAGATAGGACTAGGGTGTATGGGAGTAGGGACTATGGAAGATGGGACTGAAGGGTTCTAGGTTGGAAGTGCAAGGTTCTAGGTAGGGAGTGAAGGGTTCTAAGTTGGAGGTAGAAGGTTCTAGGGGTAGTCCTTAATGGGTGAAATTTTTCTCTCTCCTCTCTTTTCGGTTAAGAAAGTAGAGACCAAAATATCACAAACTAAGTGGAAGCTCAATGAATCTCATTAATTTCTCAACTTTGCAGGCTTAGGGTTACAAATGAGCATAAGGTGCTTATATATTATCCCCTTGAAATAAGGCTGGATGACTAAAAAGAAGCCAAATTGTAAATTATTACATTTTTCTTGAATTTAAGTTGAATCTTGTTTTTGAGGCAAAATCTAGAATTATGGAAATGACCGGATGGTCCCCAAAAAGGTTCCATAGACTATGGTGATTGATCAGTCCCTTTTTTGAGCACTTCCGGTGACTTTCTGGTGACAATAACATCGTAAAAGTGACATAATTGATGAGATGATCATTGTGACATATAATTTGATCCTTGAATCGAGGTTTCAAACCCTCCTTGAAAATCCGGCGAAAGATGATAAACCTGAAATCTTTAATGCTCGATCTTTTCTGTTTCTTGATGTTTTGGATTGACCTTTTCATCACAGGTTGACGGGGAAGCCGCCACGATCATTTCATGATAAAAATCGCTCGATTTGGTTACCAGATCTTCACTTTTCGAATTGGAGAAGTCGCCAAAAAGAGGGATTCCAGTAACCGATAAATGTACCCTTTTGTAACCTCAAAATACGATGCTTTTGGTATTGCATCACATATGATCTTTACCTCAAATCGAAGCTCTCGATGTCACGGTCGCAACGGACCAGTTTTCAAGGCGATCCGAGGTCGAGACTTCATGATATGACCCCTTGATCAAAGGGGTCTCATTCTTTCAAAAATCTGTAATGCATGAGATTTTTTATGAAACTTCTCTCTAGGATTTCTTCCATCTCGGGTCGTGCCATATGTCAAAACGTGCTCCTTGACAAGACGAAGAACTTCTGAAATTTGGGCTCGATTCGACTTAAAACGGAGAAGTTATGACCATTGGAAGATAATCCCGAGTTCACGTAGCACAATTTCCATTTCTGGAAATTGATTCATCAAGAGTGCACCAAAATAGTGTGAAACCTACTAGTTTTGGGTAAGTTGGCCCTAGAATGGTCTAGAAGCTCCCGAATGAGTTGAAATTTGATATCTTGGGGTTTTCAGACCTTCTAAATATAATGGAAGCAGTCTGGTACTCATTTGAGACCCTGATAATAGGGATGTAGTTATGAAGAACTTTTTCAACATGTTGGGAGGTGGATTTGAAAACTGATTTTCCATCTGATCTGCTTTAATTTTATCTGATCGTGGCGAAACTTGGTAGGTATTCTTAGGGAGTCAAATTCCACTTCCACATGATTTTTGGGGCCAATCTGACATCTTTCAGAATTAACTAAAAAATCAGGGTTTATTTGATCAATGCTTTCATAGTCTACATGCATTTTGATACCTGTGGGCCTAGGTTGTGACTGGCTTCCTCCTTAATCGCATCGGGGATGAAAATGTTGAAAAAGAACCTACAAAATGGCATAGTCCATCTTCTTCATGATTTGATGAGCTTGGGGATTGTAAAGGTCCCGTTTTAGTGGGACCATGGCACTTACAGAATTAGAGCCTTGGGAGAATCCCTGTGTACTGATATTTTAGGATTTTGGGAGTGGAGGCAATGCTTCTTTCACCTTGTCTTTCCCTTTTCTCATGGTCTCTATTTGATGTAGCAAGCCTTGTGCCTGCATCTTAAGTTCGTCGATGTTGGCTGCCTGTCAGCCTTAGATTAGGAGGCGGGAGTGTCGGTGAAGACTTTAGTGGAGTTGGAACATTAACTGTTGTAGCTTGGTGGGCCATGTTTATCCTTGGCAAGATAGCCGAGACTTTCAAGACGTTTTGCTCATCATAATTAGACACAACAACAAGGCGGATGGCCTCGGCTTGCAGCAAGGGGATGGGAATGTGCAACAATTTTTCATCATTATGGGTATAAGTGACTGCGGGAGCCAAGGTGGTGAGATCAATTGTCTCTTATTCTCTCACTACTTGCTCTGTCTAAGCCAGTATAGGGGGTGGCTCTTGGAGGTAGAGGTGGAGGTGATATGACGAGGCTTGCATCTCATGGTAATGGGGCACTATCTCCAAAAGGGGGTTGGGCAGATTCGCATCGATTGGAGTCAAGGGAATCATCTTGCCATACTGTTTCTCTTCTTGGAACATCTCCATTAATGGCCCTGCTATATCTTCAATATCTTCATGAGAGGTATTAACAACTCCTCTCAAATATCAAAATAATTAAAAAAATAAATTTGATGGGAATTGGACATATCTAGGTCTAGAACTTGTAATATTGCCGAAACACTCAATCTTCTACTGTAGACTATAATCCACACTTACTTTTTCAACTGACTCAGCAGTTCCCATGACCCACTAACTACTGCAGAGTGATGTACTATAAGAGCAAGATGTGATGTACAATAATAGCACAAGTGGGAAAGAATAGCTACCATGCGTGGATTAAAATGACGAATCGTCTTCCACTAAGAGGGGATGCACTCAAATGCACGAGAGAGGAGAGAGAGAGGTGGATAGTTGTCTCAATTGTATTCCACATTCCATTCCATATGGAAAAAAGAACAAGGTTCTATGACAACAAAACTTGCATCCAGATGAGAGAGAGAGATTGCATCCCACAAAGACAAACTCTAGGCTGTTGTGCAATATAACTTGCACCCACTAAAGAATAGCTGGTTGAACTAGCACAAGGTGGAGTTGGCTTTTTAGGTATGAGGGGGGCAATAATAGACTATGAATTGGAATCCACGAGGAAAGGAAACCTCGAGGAAATTGGAAAAATATTCAAATACCAAACATGAGTAAAAGAAACATGGGAGAAGATAAACGAAGAAGCCAAAAGATTTTATACTCCCTTAAAAACATTTTGTTCCATTTACTCCCTCGCATAAAATCCAATATAGGAGTAATTTTATGATTTTAAGTTATGGGGATGTGACCTCTTCAACCTATAGACTAAATTCATTGAAAAAAAATCCAAGTTGAAGCTGTATATATAAAAAAAGAATATTACTCAAGATTAAACGAAGCTATCCAATTTTTATACGCTTTAAAATTCAACTTTTTTTTTTGTTGAAAATAATTATCTTAGTGCCCAAAATTTTAGAACGAAAAAATACCTCCCAAAAGAGCATAGCTCAAGAAGGCATGAAGTGTCAAAGCCTTAAAAGAAAGAGTAAAGATACTATGAGACCCTCTCATAACGTGAGTAAGATCTTAAAAGATTACCATTAAGTTTTGACATATCTTTAAAAAAGTTATCAATAAACCCATTCACTCAAGTCCTACACCGATTTGATAACTTTTTTAAGAGATCTATATCAAAATTTAATGATGATTTTCTTAAGGTCCCGTTACGAGAAGGTCTCGTAATGTTATTACCCTAAAAGAAAATAAGGTCACGCATAATTGCTTATACAATAATGCAATTGAAAGGTACAACTACAAAAAGAACCATTATTGTAGAGAGATGATTAAGAACTACCATTATGTAATAGGTACAGAAATGATTATATTATTGTTTATTATTATCATAGCGTGAGAATGATGGCAAGTCCTCGTTGTTGTGCGCATACAAAAAAATAGAAATTTCCTCGTATGAATATTATGAGCAAGATAAAATGAGAAACAAAGCCGTAATGGAACTTCTATCATAAGGGGAAGAGCTCGTACGGGGGAATTGGAGCGGTTTCCCGGAATAATAAGAGGCCCAACCTTGTTTTTCTCTCCTCCTCATCTGACTCCCAAACACACCCACAATCGAAAGCTGAAGTTTTTTTTTTTTCTCTGTTTAGGAGTTGCAGTAGCTCGTCCTCTTTCTCTGTTACTTTTCTTTGGAGCCTGCCTTTAATCGAGTAAGTCTCTCTCCTTCCATTTTGTTATGAAAAATCATAAATCGGTGGGTTGGGAGTAATGATTTGATCGGTAGATTGGAGTGATAAGCTCAGATCAATATCTCTACCCATCTCAATCCCTTCCTATTTTCTTCGAAAATTCACGTGTTTGTTTTAATTTTTTTTCCCAATTTGTTGTATTTCTTCCAACAAATAAAACTTATTTAAGGAGAGAGAGACATGAAATTTGCATGATCTCTCCAAAGTTTTCCAGGTAAAATATTGGAAAAAATATATAAAAAAAAGGGTAGAAAAGGAGAAAAATGATCGTTTTCGGATACCCATCAACTTTAGCTTTTGGTGGGTTTACAGGAGAGAGGCGTTTGATCAACTGGCACAAATACAGAGAGAAGTGGGTTGTAATCAAGAGAGAGAGAGATTTGAACCAACAGAGATACAGAGTGATTGAGAGAGGAAGGGAGGTGGGGGCATTTAATCAACTCGCAGGTAGAGGGGGACGAGAGGAGCGGGGTGTTGAACAGACAGAGAGAAGCGATTATTTAATCAACAATCAGAAACAGGGAGAGAGGCGGGGTTGTTTATTCAATAATCAGAGAAAGAGAGAGAGAATGCGTAGCAACAAGGCCCTCTTCGTGCTCGAACCAGACAAAATTGCTCGTTTGAAGGCTGAAACAGGCCTGAGCGATCCCGATCTCCTCTGTGCCCTGGTGCATGATACCCAGAGTCAAGCCCGCCCGCCCATCTCCAACTACCCTGTTGCTGCAGTCGCACTCGGCTCAAGTGGCCGCATCTTTGCAGGGGTAAATCTAGAGTTCCCGGGCCTCCCCCTCCACCACTCTGTTCATTCTGAGCAGTTCCTGCTAGCCAATGCTGCCCACAACAATGAACCCAGCGTCAAACTCATCGCCATCTCCTCTGCGCCTTGCGGTCATTGTCGCCAATTCTTTCAGGTAAAGTTTTATTGCAGCCAATTTTTTCTTAAATATTGGAGATAATAGCAGATGAACATTAGGACGTCGTATAATAAGTGGTGCCCAACATCACTGATTGGCCTAAGTGGTTGAACCGGGAATTCGTCTTTAATCGCCCCAGTGATTGAACTGGCTAGTCAGACTTCTTTCTTTTCTTAATTTTGGAGATTATTTGTGAGTTTTTTTTTTTTCCGTTCTTTTCACCTTAAATGACTGGTTTGGATATTTTGTTTTTTGTTTTTTTTTTGTTTTATCTTATAGTTATATAATATAATGCTATGGTATTAAGCAAGATGGTAAAGCTGTTTGCATTTTGCTTGTACAAATTTTCATAAACTTAGCTAAGCAAGGGGAAGAGAAAGGGGTGTAGATGTTACGAAATCCCTGTACCAAAAAAGTCGTAACAGAATAGGCACCAAAAAAGACATAACAGAATAGGCTGCACAGTTTTAGGAAAAAGGAGGAGGTGGAGAGAAGGAAAGGAGAGAGCAGATTGTTTTTCTTTATGTTTTTGTTTTTTTTTGGTTTTTTGTTTTTTTTTCTCTTTTTTTGGGGCGGTTGGATGGAAGGGGGGAAGGAGAAGCGGTCAATCACGGGTCTCGAACTGAGGCTTAAGAACTGCCACTTGCATCATTCATCACAGCCTGTTTAGCTAAAGCATATGCATTTGCGTGGGTCGCCAACTGAGGCTTATGAACAAGAAGCTGCATCCTACGTCACAGCCTGTTTGGCTAAAGCATGCGCTTCTGCATTGGCTTCTCACAATACATGTTTGAAGGCAATATTTATCGAACTGGTGATGTCATGGAGTCAGTCCAAAAGAGGCTGTAATTATCAGGGCGTCGCAAAAGTCGCTCTTGAAGCCCAAAAAGTGATATTGTGAGAATGTGCCTCTACTAAAATAGAGGTTCTCCAACTATTATAAAATAGTTAAGGCGTTCCAACTGGGCAGGACCTTCAACGGTGGCTAAGTTTGTGTACCCAATGGAACTTGAGAGTTTGAGTTGAACCTGGGATGAGGTCCTCTAAACTTTCGCCAAGTGATTAGCTGTTGAAATTCCTCTGATAATTCAGAGGAAATCAGCGGCTGATCACTGGTTGCACATGGGCTGAGGAAACAGTATTTCTTCCAGTTTAACAAGTCCTCTTTAGAGAAAAAGCATAGTTCTTCTCAATTCTTAGCTCAAATGGTTATCTTTGCTACTATTTGATCGAACACTTTTTTTTTTCATCAGAACAACCCTTGAAAATGCTCATGTCCCATTCTAGCCAAATACGCCAGACTGAATCCAGGCTCGAAGCCTACCACCGGAAGAGAACCGAGGTAGGGAAGGGTTGGGGAAAATAGGCACGACAAGTTTCTACGCCGACCTTGGAAGTTTCCAACACCATCCGATCCATCTGAGTGGGCTGGCATAGACTTTGCCCACACCTGAGCAATGTTGGAAAAGATGGTAAATCGATTTTCTATCTCATCATACATGGCACATCGATTAGGCAAAGAAATGCCTCCACGTTGCAGCGGATTGCACATTATAGCCATTTGGGATAATACCACTTATTTGAAAGCTTGAACCTTGGGTAGTCGGAGGAGAGCCAGGCTTTAGAGAGGCCACTTCTGGTGTAGAACTGGCTTGTCGGTGAGGGAGTGATAACAGGATGCTACTGTGAAAGCAACACTAGGCCCTATAAGGGCCGACCCTATGGGGACTAGGGCTGGCCCAGCCTAGGCCCGATGCATTGCTAGCCTAGTTCGTTTTAGTCCCTAAGCAGCCACCCAAGATCATGTAGGCCATAGCCTTTTAAGATCCACCTGCTGCCATAAGCGGCTGTCCTAAAAGCGCCAGCACCACTTGCTAAGGAAAGCAATATTGACTCCTCATACTAGCCGTTTTCTTCTTTTGGTTTATAGACCTGGTACCAAGTGAAATTTCTGTTCTTCTTTTACACCGGATTATAAAAAGCGTCCTATCATACACTCTAAGCTATTTGCAACAGCTGCAAGCATTCTAAAGGGCGACATGTGAAAGAATGAGGATTATAAGTATACTGAAGGTATAACGTAGAAGGCCCCCTCTTACTTGCTATAAAGCCTTGCTCCATATTTTGGTTGCATATGATGGAGACTGAATGGCTAAAACTCTCAGGCATAGTGGGGAATAGAAAATGGGACAGCCTTCTGAAGGTACAAAGAAGTCTCTTCTAGTTTACTAGTTGGTAAGACCAGTCCACTTACTGGTTCCGCTTTTGTTAACAACATGGTTTACAATGGCCTACATCTGCTCTCTAAACCTTGCTCTTAATCGCACTTTTTTTCAGAAACATTATAATGACTGGTATAGTGATACAAACGATGGGAGTCGTCATGCCAATTTTTGGACCTTAATTTCAGGAATTGCGCGATGCATCCTCTGTGGAGATCATCATAGCAGCTGCTGGGGAGGATTGCAACCCGCAGCCCCTCTCCTACTTCCTCCCACATCGCTTTGGCCCCGACGACCTCCTTAGTAGCGATGTCCCCCTCCTTCTCGACTGTCACAACAACCGCCTCCAATTTCTTGACAAACCAGACCATGAAGAAGAAAATGAAGAACTCAGGTTCAGCAAAGAGATAACCCACAGAGAAACGGTCGCGAACAACGATGACTTGTGCCACAATGGCCTGTGCAATGGCAATATCAATGATGTGGAGGAGTTTGACAACTTAAAGAAAGCAGCATTGAAGGCAGCGAATGGTGCTCATGCACCGTACAGTCGGTGTCCATCTGGGGTGGCACTGATGACAGCAGATGGGGGGGTTTATGCAGGGGGGTATATTGAGTCAGCAGCATATAACCCGAGTTTGGGACCACTGCAGGCAGCACTCGTGGCTTTTGTGGCAGCAGGGCGTGGGGGGTACGGGGAATTGGTGCGGGCGGCACTGGTGGAGAAGTCCGGTGCAGTCATCTCGCAAGAGAGCACTGTAAGGCTCTTGCTTGAGAGCATCGCCCCCCATTGTGAGTTCCACACATTTCGCTGTTGTGTCATGTCTGATTGATGGCACGCACTCTCTCTTTCTCTCTCTAACATTGTTCATAGCCTCTCCCTACCATCATCACTAAGCTATCATCATTTTATTGAATTCAGTCTTCTTGGGGGTGGCCTACTCTGCAACTACCATTGCTCTCTCTCACTTAACTCTCTCTGTCTCTCTGGGCCACTAACTTAATTTTTTTTCATAATTTACCGTCTTTTGAGATTAAGAGAGACTGATGAGATTAAGAAATACTAAAAAGGATCTTCCTTTTTCCTCCAAATGCTGAGTTACCAATCCATTATGTTATGCTGCGGAAACTTTCAACTATGAATGAAAAACTGATTGGAGCTGTTGGATCTCTACGGAACGAATCATGAAAAGGATCACTACTTCCCTTTCAATATATACATATGCTAGAAAACAAAATCAGGATATTAATACAATTTGTCTCATTCCTCTTTTTTTTTTTTGTTCTTTATAGTATTACAAGTTTAGTAGGTTTAGAGTCGTATACAGTTGTGTTCAGTTTTAGTTTAGGCTGTTAATTCTGAAAAACCGTCAACCTGACTATTCTCTTTCTCGGGAGACTCTTTATCGTTACTTTTTTTTATCTTACGTGAGAATTGGGGTATGGATTTCCGTTAACAATGGTGAATGGATTGGAATGTTGATGAGAGATTAAAGGGTCATTTGTTGAATTGTTAGAACTTAGAATTATAATGACATTTAGAAGGCATTTTTTTTAGGGTGTGGTGCGTATAAGGTTTCAACTTTAAACAGTCAAATTAAGGTGCACCTCTATATTTTATTATAAATATAATTTTGGTGTCAAAAATTGGTATAATGGTTTGATAATCTATTTTATCTCTAATTATAAAAGCTTAAAGTCCAAAAATGGTTCAAATCAAATAAATCTATAAATACTTGAAAATCTTGAAAATGAGCTGTCCAGATAATGTGTTGCAAGATACATTATTTTTAAGACATGAAATATATTTTTTTGTTTTTTATTTTAATATTCATATATCTCGATGTCGAGATGATCAATTAGAGAGTTTTCCAACATCATAACAACCTTTTATGATGGATTTTTGAACTGTACCTCAATTCTATAAGGTTGCAACTTTATATAAATGTTTTGCCTTATTTTAAGAAAAAGTATTTTATGAGTCAACGGACACATTAGCCTGCACAATCACAAATGCCCCTCTTTAAGATAAACATCCACCACTAAAGATTCTTATCCAATGGATAGGAAAATATTCAAATAAAAATGTTTTAAAATTTTATTTTATTATATTTTAATTTTTATATTCATAGTCATCATAGAGTAGATTATGGATCACTAAAAATTTAGATCCAAGATCGATTTTTTTTTTTTGAGAAAATATCTCTTTATCCTCTATTTTTAATTTCCATATCTCATAAGGCGCAAGAATTGCAAATATTACTTGTAAGCAAAAGGCTTCCATTTTTTTTATCTTTTCGATCTTACAACCCCTGGATCCAGCCAAGCAAACACTAAAATGACATCCTATTCAAACTTCATCTCTCTATCTAAAACCCCATCTTTCTCTCTTCACTTCTCGGTGAGTTTACCAACCAAGGGGTTTAACTTGAGCTCGAACACAAGTACACCTTCTTATGTGTGTGAGAGAGATGGAGTTTTAGAGAGAGAAATGTAGTTTGGGTTTAGAGAGAGATAGAGTTTTAGAGAGAGAAAGAGATGGAGTTTGAGTTTTAGCGAAAAAGATGGAGTTTTGAGAGAGAGATGGAGTTTGGGTTTTAGAGAGAGATAGAGTTTTGAGAAAGAGACAATGATGTGAGAGAGAGATAGAGTTTTAGAGAGAGAGAGATATATAGTCATTTTATAAGTTGTTGAGGTCAATAATACATGGTCAAAATGGTTAAAGGGGTTGGAAGATATAAAAGATAGAGTCATTTTGCTTACAAGTAATATTTTCAATTTTTGGGTCTGATGAGATATAAAAGTTAAAAATAGGGGATAATAGGATATTTTCCTTTTTTTTATTAATTGAACATTTTCGGGTTGATAAGAAATTCATGATGATCTCTTGCTTTTAATTTGATCGAGTAAATGGTAGGCAATTTGAAATTAGATTAAAAGATAAAATGACATGTTAAATGGTTCAACACTTGGGTATGATGTGATAAATTCTGCCAAATAATTAAGTAGATGCCTTAGTTAAAATACCTAATTAAATTTGAACCAATTTTATAAGGTAACTTTATACTATCGAAGTAAGGCACACGTCAAAAATTTATCAAAAAAAGTTGTTATGATGCTAAAAGTCCCTCAAATTGATAATATGAAGCCTCTAGACGTTCACAACTTAAGGCTTCAAATCACCAAGGATCTCGCTTTTTGGATAGGGAAAGGTTTCTATACTTTCCCTACAGCATAGAAGAATTATACTTTCTTTACCATCCAACCGTCCAATTTTGCAAGAGAGTCACTTACCGTTTGATCTTAGATCCGACGTCTCAAAGTACTTTATTTTTAGTTTTTTTTTATACAAATTATATGAATATGAAATTTGGTAAGTGCCATCTTCTCATTGGGGCGCACTTATAAAAAATATTAAAAATAATTTTTTGATAAAATATAATGGTCAAAATACCCCTTGAAATTTTCATGGTATTTTGGTCATTTTATTCTATTGGAAATATGGTTTTTAAGTTTTTCACTAGTGCGAGTTTAATCGAGGATTGGACGTCCAAACTTTGGTGTCAAAATAGTTTATAGAAAAAAAATTAAAAATAAAATAGTATAGAGACATGACATTGTAATTGGGACAATCTTAACCCTCCATTCAGAATAGACAGTTCGATAAGGAGAAACATATAAGTTTTATGCTATAAGGGAAGCATAAAAAGCTTGCCCTTTTGGATATATGTGATTTGAACGTCCCACATTCCTTAAGATTTGGACATCTCACGCTCCTAAAGGAGCCGCACCACTAGTATATGTACAATTAACTGATTGTAAAATCAATTTACACCATTATTTTTTTTGACAAAGAGTACTTACTCTCTTTCTTTTCTTTTTTTTGACAGAGTAAAAAATAAAAATACATAGCTCAAAAAGAACAGTAGCAACAACTAGGGAGTCTAAAAGATCTCATTTCTTAATCAAATTATCTGCCATGTCATATGCCTACCGATAGACAATATGAAAACTAACCACCATAGAAGACAGAAAATCCATCACCCACAGTTAAATGGATCTCAGGTGCCATTGCGGCTTAGAGATTTTTGAACACCAATGGATGACATTAAGCGAATCTCTTTCAATGATTAAAGTATCTCCCAAACCTCTCTCCCTTCATGTAAGAATACCTTGCAACCCAGCAGCCAATTCAACATGATTGGCTGAAACAACTCCACCCAACCCAACATAGTAAAGTACAATCGAACCCTCAGAATCTCTACATACCCCACCCACACCAAACGCCCTTCAAGAGGAGGCTACCACCTAAATTTTTGTCTCACCTTTGAAGTCCCATAAGATATGATATTTGCTAAATTGAAAAAAATATCCACCTTAGAGACTCCATACCCTTCTTTAGTAGCACTGAACCAACCCCAAAGAGTATGCAGAATTTTATTTTGAGGCCCTTGAATTTCCAAAGAAACTCCATTAAAACTTTTTCTATTCCGCTCAAGCCATAGCTCCCAAATAGCTCCTCTAAAACTGTCCCATATCATCCATCCCAGTTTGCACCATTGTTTAAAGATCCGGTTTGCGTGAGTCAGCCAACTCATCAAAATTTGTGCGGTCGGTGTGGATTGTCTACTTTAGAGATGGATATCAAAGAAAAGGTTCCTCAATTGAAGGTCAAAATGAATGATAAAAATAGTAATAATAACAACCTTTTTAAATTTTCAAAACGAAAAAAAATTCTAAATTAAGATTATGAAACCCTAAAATTTTAAATCCAAAATCCATGTTCATAATGGATTTTGAAGGTGGCCAGCCTATTAATTGGTGAGTCGGTTGACTCACCAAATCTTATTTAAAAAAGTGGATCGGCAAGTCAAATAAGCCACCCACCAGCCAACTTCAGATAAGTGAATTAAACCAATTCAACTGGTTTGGTCATGCGGAAATAATAAATTAATTCAAAAAATACAATAGATTTCTAAAAATTAAAATAATTATTTTGTACAAAATATTTGATGAATATGTTATGATGAAATTATCAATGAGGCATGAGTATTGAGAATCCGATTCTAGTATAGAGGCACACACTTGTTTGACATTGTAAACTGCAATAAATCTCAATAGTCACACTTATATCGATTAAATATCAACGTTACGTTAGATGAGGTTTACATGAAGTGCCCTCCTACCATAAAAGTAAGGCGCGATGCTAACTTTTTTTCCAGAGTTGTAGTTTCAATATCAAAAAGCTTATGATGGATTAAAAATGGACTTTTATCCCTAGTTATGAAATTAAAATTTCGAAAATAGTATAGATCAAGTGTATCTATAAACACTTGAAAATCAATAGTCCAGATAATTTTTTACAAGATCCAACTATTTTTAAGACTAAAAATTCTTTTTCTCTTCATATCTATACATCTCAAGGCCGAGATGCTCAATTGGAGGTTTTCCAATATCGAATCATACTGTTGGGTTTATGTGTTAAAGGCTTTATGAGTGTTTGTAAAATGAAATGATATAGTGAAACATGAACTCAGTGGGAGTGTGGTCCCTCGTCGACCATATTAAGCAAATGATGTTGCTGATATCAAACTGTGTTTGGTGATCTAGGCCAGTCGGTTGGAAGAAACCCATATTACCGGAGCATAGAGAACAAACCAAGAAGGGTTAGAATGGGTCATCCCTTGATAAAGTCGGAGCATATGCCCGGATGAGTGAGCCGAGGGATTGTGTGAACCTTGTGTGTGATGGTGGCCTACAGAAACGGGGGCCAATGCCTCATCCATTTATCATCACATAGCATGTATATTGATAAATCGTTCGGAAAAGCAAGTAAGCCACATTTCAAGATGAAACGTATACATGTGCAAGAGATACCCTTATGCACCATAGGAGTTGTGGTTGCATCAGGTCTAGGTGACCTTGACTCATCTCTAGGGGATGACCTGTAATTCACAAATTGAGATTGCAACCCCTTGGCTTATCGGCCAAACTTTGGTGACCCGCTAATGAACCCCTGCTTGGACTGTAGGTCATGGGAAATACTGGATCGGTCTGATAAAGTAAGTGTGGTCTGTAGTCTACAGTTGAAGGTGGAGTGCCCCCATGATTGTTGATTTAATTCCTAAACTATATGGATCATTTGCTCATCAAATTAATTTAATTATGTTTG